AGAATTGATGCTTTTGAACTGTGGTGTTGGAGAAGACTCTTGAGAGTCCCTTGGACTGCAAGGAGATCCAACCAGTCCATCCTGAAGGAGATCAGCCCTGGACTGATGCCAGACTGATGAAGGACTGATGCCGAACCTGAAACTCCCATACTTTGGCCACCTCATGCGAAGAGTTGACTCATTGGAAAAGACCCTGATGTTGGGAAAGATTGAAGGCAAGAGGAGAAGGGGACAACAGAGGATGAGATGGTTGGATGGCATTAAGGACTCAATGGACAAGAGTTTGAGTGGAGTTGGTGATGGACAGGGAGGCCTGGTGTGCTGCATTTTATGGGGTCGCAAAGAGTTGGACACGGCTGAGTGACTGAACTGAACTGAACTGATATTGCAAAATGATTGCCAAAATAAGTTTAGTTAACATCCATCACCACACATAGTTACGGGTTTTTTTCTCCTGTAACAAGAATTTTTAAAGATCTACTCTCTTAGCAACCTTTATATATACAGTATTGCTAACTATAATCACTATGCTATACATTATATCCTGAGGGCTTAATTATCATATAACTGGAATTTTATACCTTTTGGCCATCTTTACCCATTTTATCCACCCGTACTCCATACATCTGGTAACCACCCATATCTTCTCTAAATCTATCAGTTTGGGTGTTTATTAGATTCCACATATTTGTGAGATCACATAGTAGTTTTCTTTATTGGTCTGAGATATTCCATTTTGAATAATGCTTTCAAAGTCTATCCATATTGTTGCAAATGACAGGACTTTGTTTTTTTCTAATGGCTGAGTAATATTCCACATTTTCTTTATCCATTCTTTTGTTGCATACACTTAGGTTTTATCCATGTCTTGACTATTGTAAATAATGCTGCAATAAACATAAGGGTGCAGATATCATTTTAAGATAGTGATTTCTATTCCTTCAGATAAATGTTAATATCAGCAGTGGGTTTGCTGAATCATGCAGTAACTCTGTTTTTATTTTTGAGGGAAAACTTCAAACTATTTTCTATCGTGGCTGCACCAATTTACATTCCCAACAATAGTGCCCAAGTTCCTCTTTCCCCTCATTGTGGTCAACACTTGTTATTTCTTGTCTTTTTCCTAATAGCCATTTTAACAGGTGACAGCTCACTGTGGTTTTGATTTGCATTTCCCTAATGATTGTTGTTTTTGTTGAGTCGCTAAGTTGTGTCCAACTCTTCTGCGACCTCATGGGCTGGACTCCAAGGACGCCAGGCTCCTTCTGTTTATGGGATTTCCCAAGCATGAGTACTGGAGTGAGTGGCCATTTCCTCGCTCTTAACTCTGTTTACCTTTGTGGCATAATTTCCACTAGCCGTCGCCTTGTGCTATCTGTTCTGGCAATACCAAATGATTTGCATCTCTCCCCATGCATCACACTATTTACTGTCTGTCTACTACTAGTTTAGCTGTCTTCTGGGCCTAGAATGCCTTTGGTTTGCTCCCTTCTTTCCTACTGTCTATTACCTGGGCTGCACTTCATCCTTATGACTCAGCTCACAGATCACCTAATTCATTATAATGGACTTTTGTGTTTCCTTCCTCAGGCTGTTAGGCACTCCCTCCTTTTGCTATCTTAATATTGAATGAAAACCTTTATCTTTGCACAGGCGTAGGATAACCGCTAGAGAGGGAAAATGGAAGGTGCACAGCAGTTATGACCCCACAGAAATTCTGAAATCCAGCCTGGCAGACGTTGCCAATTTCTCGATTATGGCCCCGTCTTGTTACACTGTTACTGTTCACTGTTGGTTCTATCTTGGCTTCTCGCTCTGATGATCCTTCTCGGCACATAAGAAACTCCTTATGCCTTCCTTCTGTCCATAAAAGCTTAGGGCCAAAAAGATCCTTCTCTGTCTCTCTTTTAGTCCAAGTTGGGGATGTTTCAACCAAAATAGATACCTCAAAACAGTTCATTTTTTGCCTATCTCTGTCCACTCATATTTTGTCATAGATAGGAAGAAGCAGCTAGGTAACACCTGTCATATTCTACTTGGAAATCTTAGTAAGACCATCCTTAGGTACATTTACTATTTTCCATGTTACTGCAGCAATAATGTTGCAAGATATTCTTGCACTATATTACAAAGGTCTCCTTTCCTTCTGCTTCCAACCCCATTTCCTTCAGTTTCCCCTGACCCCCACTGAGAGCCTGCTTCGGTGCTTCTTCCGGCTCCGCGGACACTTGCCTTTTCAGACTGTCACCAGCATTCTTCTAGAAATCCTTCAGGCTCTCACTAACAGTTTTCCAATACTCTTCCAGTTTTGCATGCTAATATTCAAAGGCCAATGCCACATACGTTAAGATTTTGTGATAGTACCGTAATTCCAGGCACTAAAATCTTTTCTGATTATCTATTGCTGTATACAATAATACCTTAAAATCCTGTTTCAGGAGGACAGTGATGGGAACTGGAGTCAATTCAGAAGTTTCTCACTCATGTATCTGACGGTGATGCTGGATTTTAGCTGGAAGTACACTTAGGCCATCAGTTAGAATGCCGACCTACATGTGATTTCTACTTGGCTGTTTGGTCTCCTCATGGCATGCTGACTGGGTTCTAAGAGCAATCTTCCCAAAGGAACCAGGAAGAACAGACATTGCATCTTATGACCTAGCCTTGGACATCATTTAGTGTCATTTCTGCTATGGTCACTGGCCATACCATATTCAAATGGATGAACTATAAATCCAACCTTTGATAAGATAAATGTCAACATCCTATTGAGAGAAGAAATTGTAGATGAAAAGATCTTACTGTGGTCATTCGAAATATAATCTGTCTCAGTATGATATAGCTAACTTGCTAAATTCATCTTTAGTTTCAATTTTTCATAACAAGAAAGGAAAGTATTTTGGGTGACATTGGTTCCCTATATCAATAACACATTTTAAAAATTAAAATGAACTTGATGATGCTTTCATGAGAATGCTAGAACTAGTTGATTAAGAAGTAAACTTTTTAAAAGACAGATCTGTCATGGGTCCAAAACATTAAGCAGACAAATAATCAGTTCAGTTCAGTCGCTCAGTCGTGTCTGACNTCTTTCACTTTCATCAAGAGGCTCTTTAGTTCTTCTTCACTTTCTGCCATAAGGGTGGTGTCATCTGCATATCTAAGGTTACTGCTATTTCTCCCGGCAATCTTGATTCCAGCTTGTGCTTCCTCCAGCCCAGCGTTTCTCATGATGTACTCTGCATAGAAGTTAAACAAGCAGGATGACAATATACAGCCTTGACGTACTCCTTTTCGTATTTGGAACCAATCTGTTGTTCCACGTCCAGATAGAATGCCAGCTTTCTATTCCAGAATCATTTAGCATGCTTGCCATGTTAGATCACAGTGATCCTTACTTGTTAGACGGACATTGAATGAGGTTTATTAGTTCATCCTTTTTGTGATAAGATTGTGCTATACATCCGTAATTATAGAAATAAGAAGACATCTCAACAAATACTGAGAAATTTTATAATTCTTAAGTGTTTTGCTTTTCTGGATAAGTCATATGACCTTTTACAGCTTCTTAGTATTTTACTGGATGAACACTGCACCACTCTTTCAGGTTGGCTTGCTGTTGCCATTCTTCCCTAACCCTGATGGATATTTCTAGATCCCTTCCCTCCTACTCATCATGAAGACCTATCTCCTGATGACCACAAGGCAATTCTTGGAAAGGGGCTTGGAGGTAATAATCTATACTAGAGAACCTGTAGTTTTGATGTGTTAAAAAAATTGGGGTATGATGGTCTCCAGGCTCTGTCTGAGCTTCCCCCTCACTCATTCCTGTCTGCCATGTAGTTCTTGACAAATGTGTGTGCTCACTCATGTCCAGCTCTGCAACCCCCTGGACTGTAGCCCACTAGGTTCCTCTGTCCATGGAATTTTCCAGGAAAGAATGTTGGAGTGGATTGCCATTTCCTACTCCGAGGGATATTCCCAACCCAGGGATTGAACTCCTGTCTCTTGCGTCTCCTGCACTGGCAGGCAGATTCTTTACTACTGCGCCACCTGGGAAGCCAAAGAGTAGACCGTAGATAATAGACTCCCCAAAGCAAGGATTTTTGTCTGTTGTAGTCACTGAGGTAATCTTCAGCAGCTGGAGAATGATGGATAGGTGCTAAGTACATATTTGGTAAGTGCATGAATAAAGGATCCTTTAAATTTTGATCCAATTTCCAACAAGAGCACCCTTGTAGGATACGCTTCCTAGGTAAGTAGGAAGTTCATTCCTACTTACTCTTGATATGATTAAAATTAAAAGTAAAATCAAAACCAGAATCCCTGGGTTCCTTCACAGACCAAAGGACCTGCCTGAATGCTGTAAGAGTCAGCATTATCAAAGCCATTCTGATGTCACAGAGCAAAACTGCAGCTGAGAATCCAAAGAAATGCTGATTTTGCCAGCATGAAATCGTTTGAAGGAGTTAAAGAATGTTGTTTATTGGAGAGACATATTGGGTAAGAAAATTGGAGGGTTCTAAGGCTACATGTATATATATGGAATGTGGGAGATTGAAACAAAGATGCGCTTATGGCTTAGTGAAGATTTCTCCCCTTTACTTCTGAGGGCATGTGGTTGTGAAGAATGGTTGCGTTCCAGCACTGTTCAAAAACTTGGGAAGCAAAATAGACCCTAAGCAATCAGGATATAGTACAAGATGCTAAGTATCTCCAAATTGGTATGTTACTCATTGGTACTAGGTCTTGTTTGAACTCAGGTGGGTTAGAAAGTGAGTTAGGGATCACTGTAAGATAGAATACACATTTTATAGGGTGGAACAGAACATTGTGAATTTTGTTCCCTAGAAACTATTCCCAAACAAATCTTAATCTAGTGGCCTGAACAATGGATATTTGTTTTTTTTTAACTTATGAGATAATCTGAACATGCTTTCCAAGTATTTCAGCATATTCTCTATATTCACAATACTGATGACAGTGATAGTAATCCACAGATGTAATTCTATACTTCATGGTGTAAAAGATAAATTTTCAAATGAGAATATCAGAAATCAAGCTGTCTTCCAAAGATTTATGTTTTCTTCCAGGAGATAAACTGGCCATGTTGCTAAGAAATAGCTGCTTACCCAGGAATTACCTGTTCTTAGTCCCTTTGTATTTAGATGGGACCATGTACCTGAGCTCCAAAATCACTGCAGATGATGACTGCAGCCATGAAATTAAAAGACACTTGCTCCTTGGAAGGAAATTTATGACCAACCTAGATGGCATATTAAAAAGCAGAGACATTACTTTGCCAACAAAGGTCCATCTAGTCAAGGCTACGGTTTTTCCAGTAGTCATGTATGGATGTGAGAATTGGATATAAAGAAAGCTGAGTGCCAGAGAATTGATGCTTTTGAACTGTGGTGTTGGAGAAGACTCTTGAGAGTCCCTTGGACTGCAAGGAGATCCAACCAGTCCATCCTAAAGGAGATCAGTCCTGAATATTCATTTGAAGGACTGATGTTGAAGCTGAAACTCCAATACTTTGGCCACCTGATGCGAAGAGCTGACTCATTGGAAAAGACCCTGATGTTGGGAAAGATTGAAGGCAGAAGGAGAATGGGATGACAGAGGATGAGATGGTTGGATG